TTTTGAAAACCCATAATTTTTTATCTTGGGCATTAGTTTTAGGTCTGAAACTTTATCAAAGATTTTTGCTAAGTCAAAATATAAAACATGTACTGAAGCCTTATTATTTAGATGGTTGGTTATTTCATCGATTGTTTCAAGTAAGTTGGTTATACATGATGTAGAAGGTACAAAACCATGTTGATTTTTATTGGTTAGATTGTTTTGTAGTAGATGATACATTATTTTATCTCAAATTATTCTTTCAAACGTTCTACATACAACTGACCTAGTAGATATTGGCCGATAATTTGATGGATCTAATTTACTAGCTCCTTTAAAAATCGGTGATATATTTGCTAGTTTTCATTCTTGAGAAACTATTACATCATTGTAACTTTTTGAGAAAATGAAAGATAGTTGATATGACGGAGCTACGTTGCATTTCTTGAAGATTAATGGATGAATTTTATCAGGTCCAATCGATTTATTTTCATTTAACTTTTCTAAGTGTTTTGTTATTATTATAGGACAGAAGTTTTCATTATATAGGTCGCACGTTATAGATGATCTTAGTTTAAAATGCGATAACACAACAGGGATACTTTCTTGGATGAACACAGAATAAAAATGTAAACCCAGAATATTTGATATTTTACTATTGTCCTTATGCACTTGTCTATGATTCTGATCTCTTAATAATTTAATTTCTTGTTTGGCTGATTTGTTTTTATTAACGTGGAAATAGAATAGTTTAGGATTTGTTTTAGATTATTTTGCTATATTAGATTCATATTCATAAACTGTTGTATCAATTAGTTCTTTACACTTTTTACGTTTAGTTATATATAGTTCCTTTGAAAATTTTGATTTATTTGATGATAAATATTTGAACAACAGTCTTTTTTTTCAAATTAATTTCTTTCTTTAGTTAACCATAATGGACCTATCTTTGACTGAATATTTTTTGATGGCACAGTTTTGAAACTGACTCATTATAGATTTTTATAAACAGGTTATAACATTCATTAGAATTTTTATTTAGAAATAATGTCTGCCAATCAACTTCATTATAAAACCACGATATTTTTGCGAAACTTGATTTTCTGAATAAAATTTTTCTATTAGCAACATTTAGATGGATAGTGTTATTCACTATAAATTTATATATTAATATATCATTGCCTTTATTTGAATCGCCTAATATTGGCTTATGTTTTATTTCAAGAATTATATTGTTTTTATCAGTAATAATTAAGTTTAAAATGTTTTCTTTAATCGCGTTTATTTAAAAGTTGATTTAATAACCATTTGAAAAAGAAAGTAATTATTTAACGTTGTAACAAAACTGTTTTCGCGTTGTATTTTCCGACAAATATTCACTAAAACCATATTTGTTCCATTTTATTTTAGCAAAGTTAAAGTCTCTATTAATTAAAAAAAAATCTATTTATTTTCAACTCACTAACTTTTTTGCTTCAGATATGACATCATTTAGCTGGTTATTTAGTTCTGCTGTTGCATTTGGTAGTCTATATATGCAACCTAGTAATATTGCTTCATTTGCTAATTTTATTTTGCACCAAATATGCTTAATGATTGTTTTATTAAATATGACATTAGAAATTTGAGAAGATTCATTAGATCTTTTAATAAAAATACAAACACCACCCCCTTTTCTACCGTCAATTCGGTCGCTTCTATATATTGTGTACTCAGTTAAATCTAAATATGTACTAAACATTTATTTATTTATTTATATATTTATTTTAAAAAAAGGGAGACAATAAATTGGCAACCTTTATATTTCAAAGATTGGTAATATATTGCTAACCTATTTATCTCAAAAGTTGGCAATATATTGCCAGCCTTAAACTTTTTTTGCTGGGCATCTGTTTAAATAAAATTTTTGTTGGATATCTGTTTGAATAAAATTTTTTGTTGGGTATTTGCTTGAATAAAATTTCAGTCACACCTCTTTTAACAAAAATGTGTCATTGCAACAATATCAATAACAAATATCAGTCCTCGAAATTAGATCTCAGTTCTCGAAATTAGGGTCAGCATTTGCAAATGTGTCTTTTTAAATTTAGGCAGTTTTTTCAGTATACAAAGTTTGGGTTTTCATAATAATGTTTAGGTAAGAAAAACAAAACATTTTTGTAATTTTATCTTTCATAGATACAAAATTTTGAATAATGTTGAATTGAAAAAATATTTTAAAATGAAGTCTAGACTATTTGTCTACTATTTCAATATATGGTATTATTTTCAACATAAAACTACATTAATTCTATAAAAAACATTTTATGCATTTAAAAAAAAAAACTATTGATAGAACAAATAAGCTAATAAGACTTGCAAACTGTTGCCAGGGCCATGCAGAGACAACTGAACCATAAAGATAAAGACAAATGAAATATAAAAATGTTTTATGGCTAGTAAAAAAGACCACATTATTTGATTACGACACTCTTGTACTTCTGACTGTTGTTAATTAAAACATTTATGATTAGGATTATTTTTGCTGAGTTTAGATAAAAAGATTTTTCCAAACTTCATATCAAATATGCCATAGGAAGATATTATAAAAACATAAAGAAATTTATACACTAGTAATATAAATATTACAATAATTGTTATAACATACACACATACATACATACATACATACATACATACATACATACATACATACATACATACATACATACATACATACATACATACATACATACATACATACATACATACATACATACATACATACATACATACATACATACATACATACATACATACATACATACATACATACATACATACATACATACATACATACATACATACATACATACATACATACATACATACATACATACATACATACATACATACATACATACATACATACATACATACATACATACATACATACATACATACATACATACATACATACATGCATACATACATACATACATACATACATACATACATACATACATACATACATACATACATACATACATACATACATACATGCATACATACATACATACATACATACATACATACATACATACATACATACATACATACATACATACATACATACATACATACATACATACATACATACATACATACATACATACATACATACATACATACATACATACATACATACATACATACATACATACATACATACATACATACATACATACATACACCCATACATACATACTTACATACATACATACATATATACATACTTACATACATGCATATATACATACTTACATACATGCATACATACTTTTAAAACTTTCAATAATTCATTAAGAAAAACATTTTTACCTTACACCAATAACATTCAAATCAAGGTCCTTAGCAAGCTGTAACAATTTTTGTGTGTTTTCAAGACTAGCACCAAACTTGCGTCCAAGCTTATGTAAAAAAGTATAAATAAATATAAAAATATTAAAATGTTACTAAAAATGTTATGTTTGAGTAATTTAGTTCTAAACAATTTCAAATAAATAAAAAAAATTCTAATTTTGAAAAAACTGTTAAAAAACATGTTGAATATATATTATAAATAATACTAGACAACTGTTTAAATTAAAATAAATCACTACAAACATATTCGTGTAACTTATTACTTTAAAATATTAAAAATAAATTTAACTTTTAATCAAGCAAGTTTTGATAAAATAAAGCAAGAATGAAAAGGAATTTTTAAATTTTATTTTATTTTTAGAACTGATAACAATCCAATAAATTTGGAAGACTTGTTTTTGTTAACTGTAATCCCTTTAAATCCAAAGCAAAAACTTTTTTTGTTAACTGTAAACCCTTTAAATCCAAAGCAAAAACATTAACGAACAAATCTACTGTGCAGAAAAATAAGTTGAGTTTAGCACATATAGGTGGGATATTTAAGATTAATAGGTTTACTAGTTTTATTAAACATTTAATAATTAAAACTTTTACTACTATTAATATTTAACTTGCTCACATTTCCTTGCATGTTATTAGCAGTTTCTCAAATTATATTTGTATACTTACAAATATTATTACAACCCAAAGCACTTTACAGTATTCATAAATTATAAGATCTTTAAAACTTAACAAATGGAAAACCACGGCTGTTGGCTGTTATATGTCCAACAACACCACCAAACAAACCATCAACTGATTTAGTTAAGTATTTTGTAATTTTTGATGACTTATTTAAAGTTATTGATGTGGTTTTGTAGTTGTAAATTTATTTTGTTTGTCTGCACTATCTCTTTATTTATAAGTCATAGACCTTTTGTACCTGTATAAAATAGTTCAAATTGGTAAATTTTTATTGTCATGGATAAAAATTAACTATCGAATTAATTTATAGATGATAATTTTATAATTTTTATATATTAAAATTTTCTCACTTTTTTTAAATTTAAAATTTTGTTTCAATTTAACAAAAAAAATGTTAGGTTTTTAATTTGTAAAGTCACCTCAATTGTTTTTTTAGTTTCTTATTAGATGATTGTAGTTCTTATATTTTTTATTAAATTTTTTTACAGAATTTACCCATTAAATTGATTAATAATTTAATTATTGGTAGCAAAATATTTACTGGTATTGCAATTCCTTAGAAAACACAAAGATGATAAAAAATTCTAATGAACAAATGTGAAAACCACTAAAGGATTTAAAGGTAAAACTTTTTCGTTGCATCGTGCATTTAAACAATTTTTAGCAATATTTAAAAATAAAATTGCAATAGAAATAAAACGTTATTTGTTTTTAATTTTATCTAAATTTATTTTATTTCATAATTTCATATTTTATGACATAACTGTCATTCAAACTTTTTTAACTTTTTTACAAAATCATCTGAAAACGTTCAAGTGGTTTTTATAACATTACTACTTTTATCTTACATAAAGTGGTACCACCTAAAAGACATCATTTATCTAATCTATATATTAAAAAATAATAATAATCAGTCTAAAATTTCTTTCACCAATCATAACCTTATTAAGCCCCCCCCCCCCATCCTTCTTTCCTTTATTTATCAATTTTAACTTGTTATCAACAAAACAATTTCTAAACGAAAAAAAAACAGTGCAAACTGGATTTATGAGGTTATGATTTAAAGCCAAATATAAATTAAAGATAAATTAAAAAAAAATTCTTATTATTAAAAAATAATAATAAGTCTACAAACTTTTCCACTCACCAGAAGAGTCCTTTTAAGCAATATTTATTTTTACAACCAGTAAAAAAAAATATTGTTTAAAAGGACTCTCAACTCCTAACACATGTTGTTTAAAAGGATTTTCAACTCTTAACATTTGTTATTTAAAATAACTTTCAACTCTTAACAAATATTGTTTAAATAGACTTTCAATTTCTAACACATGATATTTAAAAGAACTCTCAACTCATAATACATGTTGTTTAAATAGACTCTTAACTCCTAACACATGTTGTTTAAATCGACTCTCAACTCCTAACAAGCAGCAGATCTTGAATTTGATCTTGTTTTGTAAGAACTTAGGCCCTGCAGTGCTGTTTAACAAAAACAAAAGTCAACTATGTACTAATAACAGTTAATGATGAATTGCATATATAGTTTCCATGAATTAGTGTTTTTATAATGCTTGTCATTGCTTTATTCCCTCTCCATTCTCTATTTCTACATATAACCTTTTTTTTAACCATGTATGGAGCACCATTATTTTATTTAGACTGATTTTTCTAATGATGCTCTTTTTTTCTATACAATGTCCTAAAATGTAAAGTAAATATAGTTAAACCTACTCTAGCTTAACCCTCAGTCCCATTGGCACGAGGTTGCATCTCTTCCAGGGCCGACGACACAGGTTTAAAACTGCAGGGGCACAATTATCAACTTTCTAAAAAAGTCCTCTATATCTAGAATTTTCTTTATTAAAAAAAAAAATCCTTTAGAAAAAAAGTGTTTTTTTTTCTTTCTATTTTCTACAAATACTATCATGATTGCTGCTTAAACAAGCTAATATTTCCTGTTTAATCAACCATAACTCAATCTCACTTGTCACTTAACAAAGTTGCATCCTTTTACGGTATTGATCTCTTACTTTTTTAAAAACCTCTAGTCATTTAGTTTTTTTTTAATCCTAATGTTGTTAAGTGTACATTAGGGTGACATTTTTTTTCACTTTTTTCACTTTTTGCAAAAAATGCAAATACACTGTGTAAATACCTGTTCTCCATTTATATACTAGCTTATATTTAAAATTTTAGGATCATTGGAACAGGTAGATGTATTTTTTCAATAATTTAAATATTTATATATAATTACTAGGATCATTGGAACAGGTAGATGTATTTTTTCAATAATTTAAATATTCATCTTTTTTTTTCCAACATACTAAAAAAGGTGCGCAAAAAAGCAATCGTTCGTTAGTATAATTACTGTTTTATATTATTAGTAATATTGACTTCCATTTGAAATAATGAACAAAAGAGTTCAACAAATTAAACATGTTTGCAGAGTGTAAAGAGTTTAAAAACTTTTGTATAAGTCCAATGTTTCTTTCAAAACAATCATTTGTAATACTGAGTTGTTAAATAAAAAAGACAAACTTTTTGTACGAGGGTATTGACCAGGGACTACTAAAATAACGGGACGCGAAACTTCAAATCGATGCTAAAACGACGACAGGGCCGATTGTAAATGGCGATGTTAGTTTGATTTAGCAAAGAAGTTATGAAAAATTTACATTAATCTAATTATATTCACATTTTAGAATACATTAAAGTGATACAAATTCATATTACTAATATAATGTATATATTTTTCACCAGTATATGATAAAATTTAGGTTAATACAATAGAAATATTGGGAGATATTTACAACATTTTTTAAAAAAAAGCCTTTTTTTTTTTGAAAAAAGTTGCTATTTTTATTAAAAAATCAAAAGTTTTTTATTTTTTGAAAGTAGTAAGATTAAAAAATTGTATTAAGTAATTTTTAATTTGAGTAATTTATTTTAAGTAATGAATCTATTAAGTGTTACAAAATGTTATGTCATATTTATAATAAATAATAATGGTGTTACTATTATTAGTTATAATCATGCCAAGAAAATGTTCAATAGTTAATTGTACCACAAATTATTTAACATCAACTTCAGAAGAAAAGCTTCATGTTTACATGTTTCCAAGTGACCCACAAAAGTTACAATATTGGTTGTCATCTATTCCAAATGCGTTTGAAAAAGTAACTTCAAATATGGGTGTGTGTGAAAAACACTGGCCACCAGGCTGCAAAATGCACAAGCCTCCTCGATCAAAGTTTGAGGTAAGCATCCTTAAAGTTGTTTTTATTGATAAGTTTTACAATGACTAATTTTAATAATATCTTTTTTAGGTTCCTGTTGATCCCCCATCTATTTTTCCTGGATGCACATCTTCAATGGTGCGCCAAACAGTCTCAACACAACCAAGATCTACAAATATAAATAAAATTTCTTTAACATCACGAAATGCAATACCTGATGAATTGGATGATTTCAATCAAATTGATTTAATTAAATTTTATGATGTTGAAATAATGTTGTCTGAAATAAAAGAAAGGTAAAATTAATTTTTTCTCCTCGTTTTATGATATTTGTTTGTTTTGATTTAAAGTTTACTTGTTATTAAATCTATTTTAGATATCCTCAATACTTTGCGTTCATTGAAAATTCAAAAGTCATATTGTTTGATGTTTCTCGATCATGTCTACCTGAAACAATATTTTCTGTTGAAATTAACTGTCATTCGCGTCAAGTTAATATTTATTGTAGGCATACAAAAGTTAACTGCTATGACCTGCTCAGTTTTTCTCATTGTCTTACTCGGTGGTCACAGCTTGAAGCTATTGTCAAAAGAGTTTGTAGCTCTAGTCCTGAAATAAAAGATGAGGTATTAAGTTTGATTAGTCAAATTGAAAATACATACAGTGATACTTCTGAAGAAATTTTTTTCCTCATTGAACAACTACGCCTCACCACTTATTCTCCAAATGGACTACGCTTTTCTACTTTATGTATACGTCGTGCACTTGAACTGTATTTGTCCTCCAGATGTTGTTATCGACATTTAAGAAATCTGCTTTGTTTGCCCAGTCCAAAGACTCTCATTTCAAAATTAGGAAGAGTTGGAGAAGTTGGAAATGAAAAAGAGTGCAATAATACAATCAAAGTTGTTTTTGAAAATTTTAATAGTTCTGAAAAGCGTTGCTGCCTTCTCTTTGATGAGATGTATATTAAACCAAGTGTTAGTTTCAGAGGAGGACACCTCATTGGATATAGTGAGGACAATCCCACTAAAATTGCAAAAACGTTATTAGTCTTTATGATTAAACCTATGTTTGGTAAACCTTCTTTTGTTTGTAGAATTGTACCAATATTTAAACTGTCAGTGCACTTTCTTCACGATTTGATTATAAACATAAATAAACAAATAATTGATGCAGGAGGAGAATTACTGTGTCTTTTATCAGATAACCATCCCACAAATCGAAGTGTTTACCAAAGTTTCGTTGTTAATAAAAGTTTTCCATGGCAAGGTGTTATAGAAAAAGAAAAACCAGTTATTATGCTACACGATCCAGTTCACTTGTTTAAAAGTATAAGAAATAATTGGTTTACGGAAAAAACACAAACAATTAGTTTAAAAATTAATAATCAACCTCTCTCTGGTGATTGGTCTCACATTGTTCAATTATATAACAGACAGAAAACTTGTGTTGCCAAAACTACAAAGCTTTCACGCAAGTCAGTGTACCCTAGTTTGATTGATAGACAAAATGTTGCAAACATGGTTGCTGTATTTAATGAAAAAACTGTTGCAGCATTGAGATTAGCTAATTTTGAGAACACTGCCTGTTTTTTAGCACCAATTGTTTCATTATGGAACATGCTAAATGTTAAGAGGAAAGGTTGTGATGTTTTACTTAATGATATCAATAGGTCTCCTTTCCAGACACTCGATGACCTTAGATTTAAAGAAATTTTAGCATTTGCTGATGCAACTTCTAAGATGTCAGAGGGAAAGGGATTAAAGCGTCATAATACTTTTACACCAGAAACAAAACATGCTTTAGTTAACACCCTACAAGGATTGGTGGAATTAATAAAAAAACTGCTTTCAGAAGATCACCAATATGTTCTTCCCGGTATTTTTCAAACAGATCGTCTTGAAGGTGAATTTGGCATCTACAGGTAAAATTATTTTTGTGTTACTTATAGTAAAGAAAATTTTGTAGGTTTGAAATCTAAAAAACAAATATTTCTCTTATTTATTTAAATGTATTATTTTTTAACATACATAAGTTTATTGATTCGTTTTTTTTTGACAATTGCTGTTTTAACTATAATTTAATACTCGGTTCAACTCAATTTATTTGGTTATATCTTTTTGCAATTTTTTTGCTTATTTGTAGACAACTAAGTGGCGGAAATTATTTTATCTCAGCAGAACAAGTATTGAACAGTTTGCACCTTCAGCGGTTAAAATTATTCAGCAAAATAGTTTCTTTGGATGAAACTGACATTCATTGCTCACGCATACATTCAGACTGTTGCACAATGGATCTATTGGAAGAGGATATTATTTATTTAGATGAATGTTTAATTAATGCAGACAATGAATCTATTAATGATCAGGAGAATGCTGCCCTTTTTTATATGGCTGGTTATGTACAGCACAAGATCGATCCGCAGCGTATAGTTGATACAACAACATCACAATCAGCTAGTTCTGAATTTACAGATTATGTTTCACGTGGTAAATTGCGTTATCCTGGTGATACTCTTCTCCAGTTTATTTGTGTTTGTTATCTACTGTTTAACAGCGTTCCAATGTCTGAAAAACGTTTTCAATGTGTTGTTTATTTAAAGAAATTATTTTTATTCTTGCATTCAACATTACCATTTGATTTAGAAACAGACAGTATAGGTATTTCAAAAGTTATATCAATAATAACTAACTGTTTCTTAAAAGGTGTTACGACCCTTGATAATACATCTGATATTGTTTCATTAAACATTGAGGACAGAAAAAGAAAGAAACTCAATACTTAGTGGTCTGATTATTTAGTTGACGTTGGTGATATAATTAATAACGTTTTGAAATGTATTTATGGCTTTATATTTATATGGTTTAAAATTTGTTTATAATTATATATTTATTATTATGATATGAATATATAGTATGATAAGTAGTGATTAATTAGTTTATTAACATTGTCTTTAAAAATAATTATTTACAGCTAATTTACAGTTTCTTTGTAAAAAGTTGTTTTATTTTTAACACTTAATCAACACAATTTAATTTTTGTTTGAAAATAGTGATAAATAATTGAGCCATAACATTTTTTTATTAAATTTCTATTCATAATTATATTTTTGTTTAATAATAGAAGTGTTTCGCTTTTTTTTTCATCGGCCCTGTCGTCAAAACTACATGAAATTAGAGTTTCGCGTCCCGTTGTTTTAGTAGTCCCTGGTATTGACTCTAAACCTTCTTTATTCTGGCATGCTTCCAACCAAATCTTTGTTTCCTATACTAAGTCCAAAATGACATAACGAAACCAGCTTTTACAGGTAACAAGATCATAAAGTTTGTTATTTTCATCTACTAAAACAGGAAGTGGTTTCTCTTAATTAATTTCACTTATGTCATGACCTCGTGTTCCAACAAGGCCTTTAAAATGTCAGACTTTATTTTAATTTTAAGGTCAGAATCAGGCTCTAGAAATGGCAACTACAGTCAAGGAATGTATTTTTTTTTTGTTTCAGATGCAACCCTCTTGTAAATACTAAGAAACACAAAGCTGTTGCGCCTAGAAACAGCTTAAGTTATACTTCTAAAGAAATAGAGTGGACTTGAACCCTGACAACTTGAATATTGAACAATATACTTTTAGTCTACAATAACATTTTAACAAATTATGTAACGCATATGGATTATTTTGTTAAATTGTGATTGTAGACTAAAGGTATATTAAGAAATTTAATGTTTGTTACAGAAAGTTTAAGAAATTTATTGTTATTTGCAAGAGCAGATAACTGTAAACCTAGCATTAAAATGTGATAATATCATTACATAATTGTAATAATAAACGGCTATTTCTCAAAACATTATACAAAATTGATACTTTTTTGTTAATTTGAAAAAAAAATTTAACAATAATTAAACTGTTATACCTTGTAAGCGGAGTTAGAATCATCGACTTTAATTCTTATGACAAGCTCTGCTCCAGGAAAATTTTCTTTTATTTTGTACAGTTCTCCTTCACTGTCAAATGTCATTTTCCTCACATTTTTTTCCCTAGCATATCTAAAAAAATTTAAAAACTGTGATTTAATATTTCAAAAGAAAAATTATAAAACATATTTTTAGCTTACTCTAACTCCCCCCCCCCCAACTTTCCAATCCTTTCAAAATAAAACAACACTTTTGATTATGTTTAGTTATTTTTTTATGTAAATGCTACCTGTCCACACAAACATACCAGTCAGTGTATATACACAAAAGGGAGCAAAATTATATATGTATATATATATATATATATATATATATATATATATATATATATATATATATATATATATATATATATATATATATATATATATATATATATATATATAATTTTTTATTTTTACATCGTTGCTTCCAACAAGGCTGAAAGCAACAATTTTAAGAGTTAAAAGTTACGGAAGAATAAAAATGAAATTTGTAATGCTGGAAAACGATTGACAGATGACTTAAGAGATTTCAAATTATATTAATCAGGAAAGCAAGGTAAAGGAAGCAAATTCCAAAAACTGGTGATCGGGGGAAAAAATTGACTAATAAGATTTTTTGGAGCACTTAGGAATAGTCGCAGTAAAAGGATGTGACTTAATTGAATGATGAATAACACAAAAATGAATTATAGTGTATGGCACAAAAGACGCTTACTCTTTAGAGCTGTGCCCATTTCAGTATTTGTAAAAAAGAGAAAGAGAAGAAACATTACAACGATGTAATAATAGTTGGAGGTTGGCGGCAAGAGAAGGTCTAACTATGTTTACAATACGTTTTTGCACCTTGTTTAAATGAGAAAGGGCATCATTAGAAGAATGGCCTCATATATGGCAACAATATTCCATGCAAGAAGGGATTTGATATTCATAGAGATAAAGAATAGAATTCTGAGTAAGGAAGTGTCGAGCACAAAAAAGAGATGCAACCTTAGCAGATACTAATATTGCAATGGATTTGATATATGGTTTCCAAGAAAGATAGGAATTAACAGCTCGTCTTAAAAGATGAAGGGTAGATGACTCATCGAGTACATTACCTTTCATTAATATAAGATCTAAATTATTGCAATAACTATTGGCTGAAAAAAGTAGAATTTTATTTGAATTAAAACTTGCCAGCCACTGTGAGCCCTATGCTGTATTAGAATTGAGATCTTTTTTAAGCTTAAATACCCCCTCCAAGCAATTAGAGAGTGTTGGCTTCTTGTCATGACAAGAATAATTGGTAGTATCATCAGCAAACAACGCCACCTTAGATCTGGAAGATCGTTAATTTAATATAAAAATTTATAGATCCGATGATTGAACCTTGAGGAATACCTGATATGTTATATGATATGAAGAAGAGTGCTGTTCCTTGAGGGCAACTATATTTAAAGTACAATTTTAATGGAAGGACTAAATAATCTTATGAATGTTACTAAATACACCAAAAGAAGAAGCCTCATGGAAAAGACCAGCATGTCAAACATTATCAAACGCTTTAGAAATGTTAAAAGCGATACCCTTAACCTCTCCACCTAATGCACAATAAAACATATTGGTTATTACTGTTAATAAGAAAAAGATTGAAATCCATATTGATGATCAGAAAATAAGTGATTAGATTCAAGATGAGATATTAAGTGTTTGTTAATGAAAGATCAAAAACCTTGCTAATAATAAGGAGAAGAATAATAGGATGGTAGTGAGACAAGAAAGATCGCTCTTCAGAAATTCTGAAAATAGCGATAACAGATGCCGCTTTTTAGCTCGCAGGAAAACCAGACTTTAAACACTTGTTAAATAGTTTTAAAAGTATGGAGGACAGCTCCGGAGAACATTACAATAGGTATGTTGTCTGGACCACAAGCTGAAGAAGAGTCTAAGCAGGAAATCACTTTTGATACAGAAACTGAAGTGATACGAATGTCAATCAATGGATCAACCTGTTTGGCGGCTATATCAGGTAGAACGCAACTAGTAGAACCAATAGATTATATCAATAAAAAGTTCTTAGTAAATAATTCAGCTTTGTCTTTAGGTGAGGTGACAAAATCTGAACCATACAAAAGAGGTAGAATAATAGATTAGCCAATCTTATTAATATCTTTTAAAGATTCTCCAGAAGTCATGAGAGCCTAATTTTTGTGACGAAATACGACATTTTATGACCTGAGAATAGCAAACTTTGGCGTTAGACAAAGCCTGTTTTCAATAGTTTTTAGCATTAGTAAACAGATGTCTGTTTTCTGGAGAATGGTTTTGCTGATAGATATGCAAACAATGGTTTCAATGGGTAATTGCAGCAGCACAGTGTGAGGAAAACCATGGAGAAGATCGGAACTTGACCTGAAAATGTTAAGAGGGAATAAAAGATTTAATGTTAGCCTAAATCCACAAAGTTTTGTAAGAAAAAAATTTGTTAGCAGGAAGACGAAAGATTTCTACCTAAGGGCTATCACGAAGAAAATCAAAAAAAGAGTCCCAGTGAACTTTAAGAGGTACAATGATATGGAGATTCTGATGATGAAGAAGAATGAGAAAATAGTTTTAGAGAGCTCAAACTCTAAAACGTTTTTCTCCAAGACTAAGCACTGACTAGGATTAGAAACAAGACATAAGTTGTGTAGAGAAAGTAAATCATTTGGATTGTCTAGAAAAGGAGTTAAAAAGTTGATTTAAGAAAGGCAAAAGTTGAGGGCCTTAACGCAAGCAGAGTCACTGACACGAGAGCCAAGTCATTCAGTATGATAAGCATTAAAGTCGCTAACATCAGCAATATTGACTGATGGATAAGGAGAGAAGAAATGGTCAATTTAATCAGAAATAACATCAAAAATGGTGTTGTCTTGAGATCAAGGAGAACAATATAGAACAAAGAAAAAGGCGATAAAGTGAAGTGGTGCTAAACAAAAGCACATAAAAAAGTAGTATGGGAATTTAAAGCTAATTTCCAATTAAATGAGTAATTTCTTATAAATGTAATTGCCCAGGCCAAGGATGCGACTATCGGAGTCTTTAATAATTAAAGAAAAAATAACTATCAACACTATGATCACAAGATGAGACAGCTGAACTCAAGTTGTTAGTGAATGATAGGTTTGATAAACTTGGTCATGACAATGTTTTTAAAGAACTTGACTCAAAGCAAAGAAAGTACTCAGTACACTGTTTTATAGTTCAAGTAATTGCCTCATTACTGTTAATAAGCCTTGAGCCGTAACAAAGGACTCCAAATGAGTTTAAACGATGCACACCAAAAGTACAAAAAGAGACAGCATCCATGCGCAACATGGCATTGTTAATTCTCTGATTTTTTTAGCTGTTGATGGAATCAGCCTCTCTGAGAGCTACCACAGAGTTTGGGAAACTTGACTACCAGCCGACATCAGAATCATAAAACTGATTTTTAGAGCTGTACACTCATTAGGAGATAACAGAATGAGTTGCCTATTCATAAAAACAAAAACACAAACAAAGCCCATGCATTAAGTCAAGAAGATCCAGCTTTCAACATCCGAAACTTGAAACAATGCATCAAAAATACATCTGCGCTAGTCTAATAGATGAAGAAGAGGTGCGAGGCTGGTCAACAGATAGAATCGGTTTACCCCTTAAGTTTTTGTCTAGGAGGCCTTCTACAAAAAAATAGTCAGATGAGTTTAACATATGTCCAAGATAAGTATTTTTATTGAGACACCATCTCTTCCCTGACAGTTAAGATATATATATATATATATATATATATATATATATATATATATATATATATATATATATATATATGTATATATATATATATATATATATATATATATATATATAAATATATATATATATATATATATATATATATATATACATATAAATATATATATATACATATATATATATATATATATATATATATATATATATATATATATATATATACATATATATATATATATATATATATATATATATACATGTATATATGTATATATATATATATATATATATATATATATATATATATATACATATATATATACACATATTAATATGTATATATATATATATATATATATATATATATATATATATATACATATATATATGTATATATATACATATTTATATATATATATACATATATATATATATATATATATATATATATATATATATATATATATATATATATATATATATATATATATATATATATACACATATAAATGCTGTAACTAAACAATAAATATTTACAAATTATTAATACTCGTAAGTTTATGTTAAACTTACAACTACATTATATACTAAACTGTATTATCCTTAATTTTTAATTTTTGATAACAATTTAAAATACTAAATTTAACTAGCCATCTTGACTAGACACAAATCATAGAAAAGTTTATTTAAAGATACAAAAAAAAAAATAATGTTAAAGAAAAGAAAAAAATGTGAACGGAAAGTAAAAACAAGAAAAGCTAAATACTATAAATAATATTTATATATATATATATATATATATATATATATATATATATATATATATATATATATATATATATATATATATATATATATATATATGTATATATATATATTTGTTGCCATATAAATTGTAGTGGAAAAGTTCTCACTTTACATGATACAAATTAAAATAATAATAATAAAATCAAAATATTAGGTCCCTCAACAATAGCGGCTCTATGGGTTCTGAGCAAATAAAATTTAAAAAAAATAATTGTTTAAATAGTTTTTGATAATTTTGATAAGCACGTATATGGGTTGGATATAAGATTTCCCTGATAAGTTAGTATTGGATAAAAATCCAAATACATATAAAATATAGAACTTAGTAAAAGTGTTGCCAACCATCGAAATGAAAACTTTACTGGCAAAAATATTAACAAAGTTATGGTAATCAACAGTAATAAATAATTGAGTTTTGTTTAAGTTTGGTTACCAGCAGTTGCAAACTTCGAGCTATCATCACAGAGACATCGCATTCTAGATCATTCTGAAAAAGGTACACAAGAACTCAGTAATAATAGTGTTTTTTTTAGAAAACGGAATGATTGACCTCATTTCCCTAACTATCAAGAACTTGATGTCTTACTAAGAGATTTAGGTCTAACTAAATCAAATGCACAATTTCTGACACACCATTTGTAAGAATAAAATTTTTTAGATGCAAGCTGTAGAACCTTAAAAAACTGAAGATAAAATTAAAATCTGCTCCCATCACCATGATCGGTTAAAATATGGACAATTTTAAGTTGCGTTTTCTCAAAAACGCAATGATGCTAACATAATTAGATTTCTTATGTTATGTGTTGTTTAGTTTTGTTTACTTCTCATTAGTTTTTGCAATGTTGAGTAAAGAGTCAAAAAGTCAAAAAATTGGAATTATTATAAAATGTTATAAGGAAAACAAAACTGTAAAATAATATCGGAAAGTGGTCAAAAATCAAGATTTATTTCCAAGAACGTAAAATCAATAGTCGACTCAATTCATTAAAATCCGACTCAGTCACCGCAAGATTTAGCTACGAAGTTTAAATGCATTAAAGCTTTCGTTCAAAGAGTATTTAAAAAAGAAAATCGGAAAGAACATTACAAAAAAAAATACCAAAAAGAACGGTTAATAGAAAAATCAAGGCAATTGAAAGAGCTAAAAATTTGCCTAAATTAATTACGAAAAAAAATGTATGCGTTTTAGAGGACAATGATACTTACTGTAAAAAAGATCACTCAGTGCTTCCAGGAAATCAATACTATTATCAGTTGTAATGTTTTAAACCTTCTGACAAATTAAGGTACATTTGAGTAAGAAGACCACTGTAAAGTTCCTTTGTTTGGTAGGTAATTTGCAATTGAGATTTTAAAAGCTCTTCTTTTATAACAAATCAATCTTTGACACCAGATCTATATGTGAGTGAATGCTTGAAAAAACGACTTCTTCCTCTAAATAAAAAGCACAAATAATCAACTTTATATTGGCCAGATCTGGCATTAATTCACTATTCCAAAAAATTAAATCAGTGGTATAAGTTAAAAAGAATCAATTTTGTTCTAAAGGATGCTAATCGAACAAACAGCGAGTCCTGAGCAGCGAGTGATTGAATCTTCCTGGGTAATTGTGAAGTGAATATTGAGGAAAAAGAGGCAAATGTGAAAGTAATGTAAAAAAAATCCAAGAATTTTGGATTAATTTTACAAAAAAAGTGACGCAACATAAAGTTGTAGAGATGATGGAGGGTACTTTATAAAAAATTAAATTACATGCACGTCTAAAGTTAAGACTATATTTATTTTTATTTAAACAAAAATTAGTTATGTAAGCATCATTATAAAGAGCAAATCATTACAATTGGTTAAGTTGTCTTTGAGAAAACTCAATTTAACATTGTCCAAATTTTAACCAATCATAGTGATATATATTTACTTTTTACATCAATCTTCTATAGATTTGGCCATCATTAATGTAGTTTTTATGCAAAGCTAGGCTCAAGACTAAAGAAATGGAGTACATTTTTTTTTCTTCTGGTTCACATGTGACAGCATAGAAGTCAATCTTTAATTTTTCCTCAGTTACCTGTGTCTTTACCAAAATCGAGCCACAACTCATTACCTGATATCAATTGTAATGAAGGCAGCAGTGATGGCAATATTGCATATAAACCCAGGGAGACATCATCTGCACTTTATAATATAAAGACAGGTGAGATAAACAACTTGTTCGAGATACTAAGAAAGAAACTGGCATTTTGACCTAAAAGATGGAATTCTTTAAACACTGATAACTAAGTTACATAACATTCCTACTCTGGATATCATCTAAATGTAATCAAATGTGCTACAATTGAGACGTGTTTAAAAATGAAGCAAATAAGTATTGCAGAAAATCAATTATTATATTAGAATTTAATGAAAAGTACATTGCTAATGCTATAAAACTTTGCAAATGTATAATTATGTTCACCATCAATCTCAAAAATAAGTGAGCAGGAATTTAAAGTTTCAAATTAATTCAAAAAGTCTGCATTAGACTTACTACAAAAAAATTTTGAAACACTTTTTTAAAGACAAGTTAAGAGCTATTTTTTAGTCAAGATCTTTATGTGAAGTTCCTGAAAACTTAATTACATTTTGTTCTCTGTGGTCCTAAATTTTCATGTTCAGAGAAAAAAAAACATAAATTATTTAAAATTGTCTTATTTTTGATTTGTTATTTTAAACTTATATGAAATGTATATGTTATAAGTAAAAAACAAGTGATAGTCAAAAAATGTTTTAAAAATTGCATAAGTTACAAGTGATAGTCAAAAAAATTTTTAAAAATTGCATAAGTTACAAGTGATAAAAAAAAGTTTTAAAAATTTTAGAAAGTCACGCATATTTTGTTGCAATTTTTTAGATAAAAAATAAAAGTAAATAAACGGAGTGGATCTGGAAATATCTTTTAATTATGCTACTAAATAAAATAAAAAAACAAATGGTTTTGATCAATTGACAATTTCAACAAATTTGTGTTACTAACTTATAAAAGTGTTATAAAAGTGGAAAATCTTTAGACGATAATTGTCACAAAATTATTTGATCATCATCTTCATAATACTTTCAGGTTGTAACTGCAAAAAAGAAAGCAGTCAAAATCTACATGAAAATGCAGGTAGTTATAAGGGTTTATGGAGTAATAAAAATATTGATATCTTTTGTAAAATATCTTTTAGTTATGCTTCTAAATAAAATAAAAAAACAAATGGTTTTGATCAATTGACAGTTTCAACAAATTTGTGTTACTAACTTATAAAAGTGGATATTAGTTTTTTTAAAAATATGTTGCAGATTACTTTGAAATTTCTGAACATTTCATTCAACATGCCGAGTAAATTTAATATGAAAATAACATTCTAGCTTTACCGTATAAAAAGTAATCAAATAATTTCCTTATTAATTTAAGTTAATTTACTTAAGTTTTTTTTTGAAGAAGAAAATTCTAGAAATATGCAATGGTAAGGAAAGCGTTAAAGTTAAAGGTGGTCCTCAACAAAAAAAATTATTATCATGACAATATTCATAAACTTTATAACCAATAAAAAATAAAATTCCCAAATTTTAGTTTTTTAAAATTTTTTATCCTGATTTTTTATTTTTTATTTTTTTTTTGTAGCTTGTTTCAAATATGCTCTATTTATTATTGTTATTTTTTTTTATGTTAATTCACCTCCTCAAAGCCGAGAAGGCAACTATAGATAAGGAGATTACTTATTTGAGGTAAAATTCTCTTTCAACTCTATAACTCCGAAATACAAACCGTATCGAACAAAGCCGCTGCGTGAAAAAACTAGTTGAAACAATTTAACATAGGACATTTATTTATTGAACTTATTAAAATACTTGAGTAGTGTAAATCAGCAAAATGTAGGACTTAGATGGCATTTTTTTAAAAACTGGATGTTGTTCCATAAAGTTATTTTTTTTTTTTTTTTTTTTTTATAATTTTTACTTACAAGAGCATCTTTATCAACAGGATTTCAGGTTTTTAAGTTTACTGGCAAGTTATTAGGTATCAAGAAAACATATTTGAAATAATGAAATTTTGTGGAAAAAAATGTATATAATAAAATATACTTAGATTTCATGATAAAAGCTTATTTTAAACTTCAATCAAATCCCCGCACTCATTACAAAATTATTTAAATTATTCTTTAAACTAAATTGGTAAAAACCAAGAGAAAAAAAGAAGATAGAGAAAGTAAAAATTAATAGTGTAACAATATTACAAGTCAATTTAACGATAAAAGCTGTGACTTTTTACAGCTAAATAAAAATTTAAAACTAAATAATGAAAAGTAAAAGTTACTTGACATGAGACTCTTGTTTGCATGGATTAGCAAAAATAATTCTCTCAGGATCAACATCCATATCAAGAACGGTTTCGATTTCACACTTACTTGCGCAATCAAAGTTTACTCCAAGTCTTGCCAGTAGTGCAATGACTAAATGGTTTGGATTACTTTTGACAGCTAAAAATAAAAATTTATTTTTAAAGAAAAAAAAAGTAAAACTGAACGAACAAATGATTTGACTTCGGTAACCGCAGTAAACCTTGCTGTAAAATCACCTTTTTCTATTGAAATTAAACTTTTAGATGCCCAAATTAAAAAAGATATAAATATCTTTTGAGAAGCATTATGAATCGTGGAAAACCAGTAAAATAATTTATCGCTTAACTCATTTTAGCCGCATGTTTATTTAAAGACTTGTTCTATAAATAATCATGTGTCTTGAGAAATTAATATAGTTTTTGTTAAAGATATATATATATAGTGACTATATCAAGATTTTTTTATATTATGGATTTTTATATAACACTTTTTTACAGAATTAGAAACCATAATTAATAAAGTCCCAAAAATACATAAATATTTTCAAAAATATTTGCTTGTGGTTTCTCATTTTCGATAAAAAAACGCTACATTTTCGTTAAAAAACGCTACATCTCATTTTCGTTAAAAAACGTACGTAAATTTTTTTTACGACATAAAAAGACAATAAATGCGTACGACTTTTACTATCTTCTTTGTTATCGTTTTTGTGTTCGAAAAAAAAACATACAATAAAAATATTAGTCCTTAATCGACCTTAGCTCTTTCTAGTTCCTGTGTTTCTTAAATGACCGGTCTGTCTTTCTCTATGCTATCTTTCTAACTCTAATATATCTGGTTTTCACTAAAATATTTTCTTTTTCCCCAACAATCTCAACCCGTATAAAGACCAGGGTGCTCAGTAAGAAGAATAATGGTTAAAAGTGCGCGTGATGGTATGAGGTACTCCGTTACGCAATTAGCTGGAGTATAAATCACAAAACCCCATTTACTTTATAAAAACCCCCTAACGTTTCTCAAATGTAAATACATTTCAAAGCTTTTCTCAAATTTTGAACGAAATTCAAATTAAATCTTTTTCGAAAAAATGTTCCTTTTATTTAAAGTCAAATCATTTTAAAGACTCCGTAATCGTGCTATTAATGTCATGTATTAGTGGTAGTAAAAGAGTTTTAAATTCCATTTAAAAATTATGTCTTTAAACATTAACGAGAACTTAAACAAATCACAGATCTTGAAGAGTACTCTATTCTGGTTTGCGGCTTAATTGAACTTAAAATTTAAATTTACTTATTTAAATTTGACCATTACTTTTACTCTTTTATTATTTAAATACTGTGGTATATCTATTATTGTTTATTACTGTTTACCTTTTTTTCCTATATTTGATTTCCTGTTTTACTTTTGTAAATCTAATCACCAGTCAAATGTTTATGACTACATATTAAATTATATGTATCTAATTTATAAATAAATAATTACTCAAAGTATTATATAAAATCTAAATAAATAAAAAGATATGACCCATTTGGGTCCCACATATTCAGCCCATATGGGCTGCCCACTTGAGCAATTCACGCCCAGCAACAATTTTCCTTGGGCGGGATGTGGGCAGCCCATTTGGGCCCGATGTAAGGCCAATATGAATTGCTGACTGGGGCAGTAATTATATTTGCATCAATTTTTTTATTATTTATTTAAATTTTCATACTATATTTTTCTATGCAATGCTCTTATATCCGAAGATACAGCCACAAAAAGTCATTAAGTAGCGTTCGCTATAGACCAACATTTTTGCGTATCAAAGTACTATCAAGCGCTGAGTAGTAATTTGTATAAAATTTGTATAAAGCCACTGTATAAAATAAATTTAGATAAACAAAACAAAGCAAACTCTCACTTTTGTTAACCCATAATACCTGCCCTGAGGATACATCTGTCTAACGGAATGCACCAATATCCCCTATATTTATATTTAAACGTTTATTAAACTCCGTTGGATCGACGTTTAATAAACGTTTATTATATTATAATATAGTAATATAGCCATTGGTCAGAAGACTCACATAACAGCTTAAGTCACGCGGTTTAAACAGGCATAATTAAAACGAAATAAAATTTATTAAAACTTATTAAAAAATTATTTTTTATTGTCTAAATAACTAACTTGAAACGCATTTAAGTCTAATTGACTTCAATGCGTTTTCAAGATTCACTTCCTTTCAACAACTGAAAGCAAAACGACTAATAAACAATAAACGAGTGTTGTGTGCGCCATTTTAATTCATGGAAGTTTAAAAGATCTTATCTCGACAACCTACCTAAATGCCAACAAATAAATGTACTCCGATGTTTTAGAAACTATTTATGGCAACATTGACACAGTTAAAAAGTATGAGTTGCTGGTCTCTTGTTATGAAAGTCTTTCTGCAAGAACTTTTATCGTAAGTTTTATAAACAGTTTAAGTTCATTTTGTAAACGCTAGTATGTTTGTGTTACAGTAGGCATTCATCTTTGCAATAATCAATAGGTTTAATAACTAAATATTTTTTTATTTGTTTTAGATGCATTTCAGCTTAATTTAGTAACATTTACTAAAAAAAAAAAATTGTTAAGCAAAAAAAAAAAAGAAAAACATGTTCAGATTCTGAATCCAAAACTATACCAATCAAAAACAGCCTTAAAAATGCGCCCTAAAAAAAAATGAAGTGGCTGTAATAACACCAGTGCAATTAGTGATAATAATAAACACCAGTGCAATCAGTGATAATAATAAACACCAGTGCAATCAGTGATAATAATAAACACCAGTGCAATCAGTGATAATAATAAACACCAGTGCAATCAGTGATAATAATAAACACCAGTGCAATCAGTGATAATAATAAACACCAGTGCAATCAGTGATAATAATAAACAACAGTGCAATCAGTGATAATAATAAACACCAGTGCAATCAGTGATAATAATAAACACCAGTGCAATCAGTGATAATAATAAACACCAGTGCAATCAGTGATAATAATAAACACCAGTGCAATCAGTGATAATAATAAACACCAGTGCAATCAGTGATAATAATAAACACCAGTGCAATCAGTGATAATAATAAACACCAGTGCAATCAGTGATAATAATAAACAACAGTGCAATCAGTGATAATAATAAACACCAGTGCAATCAGTGATAATAATAAACACCAGTGCAATCAGTGATAATAATAAACACCAGTGCAATCAGTGATAATAATAAACACCAGTGCAATCAGTGATAATAATAAACACCAGTGCAATCAGTGATAATAATAAACACCAGTGCAATCAGTGATAATAATAAACACCAGTGCAATCAGTGATAATAATAAACACCAGTGCAATCAGTGATAATAATAAACACCAGTGCAATCAGTGATAATAATAAACACCAGTGCAATCAGTGATAATAATAAACACCAGTGCAATCAGTGATAATAATAAACACCATGCAATCAGTGATTTAGCTCTGAGTAAAAGTACTAAATCGTAGGTACCTTTTAATTGCTATAATTGTAGATTATTTTTGCTTTTGTCAATAAAGAATAAAATGTTTTTTGTACAGTTATAAATAAAGTGTATTTTTCCAGCAAATTATTTTGCATATTTTTTTTTGTGTACTCAGTTTGCTCAACTAAAACATGCACAATAACAAAACTAGCTTAGTTGAGCAAGTTTCAAACTGTAGATAACTTTAAACTTAGTGTTATTATAGAGTTATGTCCTTGTAAGTGCATTGTTGAGACCACGCAACTTTGCTATACTATGAGTTGATTAACAAGACTATTTTTTTATGTGTTATCGTTTAGTACCTCTTTACTCGACCAATTTTCATTTTATTTTTTATCATTTTATCTCTTTAAATCCAAGACTGCATAATATATGTACATAATTGTAGATTTTTTTTAAAGAGTAACCGAAACAATATTAAATTAAAAAGCCACCAAACAAAATAATACAAAACGATCCCGAACTTACATATTTGCACTTTTTATAATGACATTTTAAAGTCTACTCAAAATGCCTATATAGGTCTACTAAAATTCTGCTATAGAATGTTTGTTGGTGAGTGATCACACTCGTTATGCCATTTTAGAGAAACAAGTTAATTCATTGTTAGACATCCAAAGTACTGCAGTTTTGATCACTGAAGTTATTTATTACATAAACATTTCTTTGGTGTGTGGTCTGGAAAACATTTAACTCAAAATATTCTTACAAAAATGTTCTGTAGAACTTTCTTTAAAACTGTCTGAGCTACATAACAAGCTGGATCTTAATTTCCTGCTAGCTATAAAATCAAATAATTTTAAAATCGGCAGATCACTTTAATTTCTCGAGCTTTTGCTTAATCAATTTTCTTGCTTTAATTAACAAGATTTTTATTTACCAAACTTCAATTATTGCATCTTGATTCTAATAACTAAATCTCTGACAACCAACAAAATATTTTAATACTCACGTTCTAGTTCTGACTTGTAAACCTAATAAAAATTTTAAAACTAATAACTAAATTAATTAAATTAAATCTTTTTAAAAAAGTTATGATACATTATATGAAAGTGAGTAAACAAATACTATTGCTTTTGACATATTACTGTTTGTTTAGGTTTTTTTTTGTTTTTTTTACTTCACCTCCTCAAGGCCGAGAAGGCCACTACAGACGAGGAGGCTACTTATTTTGTGGCTATAACCCTCTCTCAACTCTATAACTTCGAAACACGAACCTTGACAAACAAGGCAGCTGCGCGGAGAAACGAGTTGAGCGCGGTACTACCAGGGACGTGGTGGGGATTGAACTCGGAACCACTCGTTTATGAAGCGAGCGCTCTACCACTATAGTGGTAGAGCGCTCGCTTCATAAACACCACTACCGCAATAACGCAAGATTTACTATGCTGATCTTTTCCATAAGCTTTCTTTATATTGTATATCAAGTAAATTCAAGTTGAAATAAGTCATTCCTTTCTAACTCATTATTAAAAATCTCCTTGAAGGACAACCCTTTCTTTCCAGTAACTTCGGGGTACCACAAAGTTTCATATATAGTCCTGTGTCGTCCCTTATTTATACTAAAATGGTAGCCTTACTTGATTGTGCTTTTC